GAGGTCAAGGAAGCCAGAAAATACACAATACCATTTACACAAGCCAGAATTCAGAATAACCAGGGAAAAGCCAAGATCAGGATACCAGGAAATTTAGATTCACAATGATAAAGCACTCTCAGGAAACCAGGAACAGGAAACCACGACAGGGCAAGGTACTGGGGTGAGCTAGGGATTTAAATATCACGCGGCGGGCCGACAGCCGCGACACCCTGTTACATCCCCCTCATCAGGCCTTTTTTAGTCGAATGTATCGCCCACTGTCAGTCCCTTCAGGATCCATCCCTCATTCATCTTAATAAAGGTGAGGTAATCTAGACTTTTTTGACCTAGGAGATTTCTCTTCTCAGTGACAATACCTCCTGCTGCACTGAAGGCCCTTTCTGACAGGACACTTGAAGCGGGGCAGGCCAGAAATTCTATCGCAAATTGGGATAGCTCAGGCCACCGGTCAAGCCTGCACACCCAGTAGTCAAGGGGTTCATCGCTCCTCAGAGTGTCGATATCTGCAGTTAAGACGAGGTAGTCTGCTACCTGTCGGTCGAGTCGTTCTCTGAGGGTGGACCCCGAAGGGCTGTGGCGATGCGTAGGACTTAAAAAGCTCCGCATGTCCTCCATCAACAACACGTCTGTAAAGCGTCCTGTACTTGCCGGCGTGGTCGTGGGAGGAGGAGGATTACTTTCACCTCTTCCCTGTTAGATTCCCGTTGTGCTGTGACATCACCCTTATACGCTGTGTAAAGCATACTTTTTAATTGATTTTGGAACTGCTGCATCCTTTCCGACTTGCTGTAATTCGGTAACATTTCAGGCACTTTTTGCTTATACCGGGGGTCTAGTAGCGTGGACACCCAGTACAGGTCGTTCTCCTTCAGCCTTTTTATACGAGGGTCCCTCAACAGGCACGACAGCATGAAAGACCCCATTTGCACAAGGTTGGATGCCGAGCTACTTATGTCCTGTTCCTCGTCTTCAATGATCTCACTGAAGGTATGTTCTTACCCGCAGCCACGTACAACACCACGGGTACCAGATAGGTGACAACGAGCACCCTGGGATGTCTGTTGTGGTTGGTCTTCCTCCTCACTTTCTCAAAAGGATACATGAGCCTACAGGCATTGCGCATGAGTGTCCAGTAACATTGGAAAAAAATTCCCAGCTCCGCAGAGGCTGTCCTAGCACCCCGGTCATACAAATACTCGTTAACGGCTTTTTCTTGTTGGAGCAGGCGGTCTAACATTTGGAGTGTTGAATTCCAACGTGTCGGGCTGTCACAAATCAAGCGTCTTACTGGCATGTTTTTTCGCCGCTGGATATCTGAAAAGTGCGCCATGGCCGTGTAGGAACGCCTGAAATGGCCACACCTTCCTGGCCTGCTTCAGGACATCCTGTAAGCCTGGGTACTTATGCACAAAGCATTGTACGATCAGATTACACACATGTGCCATGCACGGCACATGTGTCAACTTGCCCAAATGCAAATTTCTTCCATTGTCACAAACCACTTTGCCGATCTCCAGTTGGTGCAGTGTCAGCCACTGATCCACCTGTGCGTTCAGGGCGGACAGGAGTGCTGGTCCGGTGTGACTCTCTGCTTTCAGGCAAGTCAACCCCAAGACAGCGTGACACTGCCGTATCCGGGATGTGGAATAGTACCTGGGGAGCTGGGGGGGGTGCCATTGATGTGGAGCAAGATGCAGCAGCAGAAGAGGACTCAGCCGAGGAGGTTATGAAAGAGGATGGAGTAGGAGGAGTAGAGGAGGTGGCAGCAAGCCTGCCTGCAAGTCGTGGCGGTGTCACCAGCTCCTCTGCAGAGCTACGCATTCCATGCTTGGCAGCCGTCAGCAGTTTTACCCAATGCACAGTGTAGGTGATATACCTGCCCTGACCATGCTTTGCAGACCAGGTATCAGTGGTCAGATGGACCCTTGCCCCAACACTGTGTGCCAGACATGCCATTACTTCCTTTTGCACGATCGAGTACAGGTTGGGGATTGCCTTTTGTGCAAAGAAATTTCGGCTGGGTACCTTCCACTGCGGTGTCCCAATAGCTACAAATTTTTTGAACGCCTCAGACTCCACCAGCTTGTATGGTAAAAGCTGGCGGGCTAAGAGTTCAGTCAAGCCAGCTGTCAGGGGGTGACTTTGTGACATTGGCTTCTTACGCTCAAACATGTCCTTGACAGACACCTGACTGTGGGCAGATGAGCAGGAACTGCCCAAGGCGAGAGACGGAGGGGCGGATGGTTGAGAGGGGGCAAGGAGGACAGCAGTGGTTAACGTGGGTGAAGATGCTGGACCAGGAGGAGGATGGCGGCTTTGAGTGCTGCTTGTACTCATGTGTTGATCCCATAGGCGTTTGTGATGTGCGATGCCTGTCATTTTTTTTTCGATTAGTGGTACTATGCGTGCAAGCTACTGTGACAACAGATATGAGTGGCACTGTGCAGTGGCAGAAGTTGGCAGAGTAGATGCTGTAGGCCTGACACACACGCTTGCAGACAACTAACTGCTATTCAATCTATTACAGTTTAAATGTTTTTATTTTTTTTAAATGTACACTACTGTTACACCAGATATGAGTTGCACTGGTGTGACACTGTGCCCTGGCAGGCCCTGAAACGCACACGCGTGAAGGAAACTGACTGCTATTATATTACAGTCCAAAAAGTTTATTTTATTTTAAAATGCAAGCTATTGTGGCACTGGGCAAGTGGGCACAGTATATGCTGTGAGCCTGACACACAGGCTGGCAGGCAGGCAACTGCAATTACATTACACAGAAAAAAAAAAAAAAAAAGCAGACTGATGTTCTAGCCCTAAAAAGGGCTTTTTGGGGTGCTGTCCTTACAGCAGAGATCAGATGAGTCCTCCAGGACTGTAGTGGACACTGTATACCTTAACCTAGCTATCAATTTCCTTATCTAATGAACAGCAGCTACACTTTCCCTCCTCTCACTAAGCATGCAGCTTGAGAATGAATGTAAAATGGATGCTGTCCAGGAGGTGGGAGGGTCTGCTAGGGAGGGTGTCCTGCTAATTGGCTGGAATGTGTCTGCTAACTGTGAGGTACAGGGTCAAAGTTTACTCAATGATGACGAATAGGGGCGGATCGAACCGCGCATGTGTTCGCCGTGCGCGGCGGACGCGAACAAGCGATGTTTGCCGGAAACTATTCGCCAGCGAACCGTTCGTGACATTACTAATAATGTTATGGACAGATGAATTAAAATAAAATGGCTATTTACTAATGTCTATTTATTCTCTGTTCACTATGTTAAAACTGGCTTCTAGAGTAAATATTCCCTTCCCCCCCTACAATGTGGTCAGCTGCTGTTTACTATGTAAATTCCTCACATCCTGCTAGCCTCCCCTCCCCCACTACCTTTGTGTCAGTTAACAGCTATATGCCATATATAGCTAAATGGAGGATCATTGGTTTAGAACTGATAGATACCACTCACTCCCCCTCCCATCGTGTATCCAAAAGTGTGTAATGATGACACTACATGAATGGCATGAATGGCACCTTAAAAGGCTCAATTCTGTAGGGGGGTTTAAACAAGAGCCCCCTTTCTCTGTTAACCAATTGGTGAATGTATACTGTATGTTTAAACTGTGACGTATTTTTGCTTTAAGAAGGAGCCCCCACTCTGGGGAATAAAGCATTCCTGGGTTTTTCACTGATCAGAAACTTTGTCTCCGGTGTGAATTACTTCTAGGGAAAGCGTGCACGCATTAATTAAACAATTTGGAAGGTGTAGATAGACAAATAATCAAAGTTTTCTTTGATCCAAAACAATTTGGTGGAGAATGCGGGCATGAAAGGGATACGTTACTAAGGTAGCCGTCAGATCCCAAGACAGGAGAGCAAAGGATCCCCAGAGATTGGAAACGGAGCCTGATCACCTCTGCATGTGGTAAATGAGTTACTTACCTATATTTTCCTTTCTTTGGATTTCTCTTGTTCTCCGTGCCTTCACATTCGGCTTCCGGTGTTTAACGTCTTCAGACAGGTAATATATATATGCCCGAATGTCCCCTTTTATATAGAACCTGTCACTTGTCTATCTACAGCCTGAGTCCTGAGTGTGAGTTTTATGTGTGAAAGTGTCTGTTTGAGAATCTGTTTTACTACTTGCTTAATACTGTTACATAATGCTGCCAAGTGTGGTTAAGCACTTGCAGGTTTAGCCAAGTTCGGGTTTGGTGGAAAACCCCTGGCTCTATATTTATTTTAGCTAAGCTTCGGTAAAGAAGTTATTGCGAGACTCGGTCAAGAGTTTAAAAAATAAATAAATAAATAAATAAATAAAATAATAAAAAAAAAAATAAATAAAAAATAATAATAAAAAAATAAAAAAATAAAAAAATGTATTTTAACTAAAACTTCGGTAGAGAAGTTATTGAGGGACTCGGTCAAGAGTTTAAATAGCTAAGCTTCGGTAAAGGAGCGGTTTATGTGCTTGAGTGTTTCTGTGTGTGTGATTTGATTTATTGTAAGCCGGCATTTATTTTAAGAACTTTGTGATTTAATTACATCTGTATTTTGTGCTTTTGTCTGTGTATGTCTTGTTGGGTACCATATATGTTAATTGTAATCTATACAATTTGTATCGTTACTCTCCTATTCTATCTTTTGTCCTAAGGAGAGCTGTGCTTAGGCAATCACATGGTTAAAAAACTTTGTGCTTGCAAGTCTTCCTCCCTCCTCCCCCTCCTTCTTTGTTGCTTTCTCTTGCTCTGACTGCTATGAGTATTGGCTACAGGGGGGTGGGGTGAATGGGTGAAATGCTTGTAAACTCAGTGAGGAATGTGAGGGAAACAAGGTATATTTGCTGGACGAATAACCTAGTTAGGAACTTTGTGTAATCTTGTATATGTTGTTAAGCAAGAGGTTATTGGCATGTTGGAATAAGGAAAGTTAGATTTTGTTGGAACAAATGAATTGTGGAATTTATAAATGATATTGCAGAGAAAAGTAAATTGCAGTTTGCATTTAATAGCAGCTATTCAGATGCTGTATTGTGGCAATCTTTATACACACAATGTGAAATTGCCAATAGTGAAATTGACAAGAAATTGTTTGTTAATAAGAAAAAACAAAAGATCAGAAATGTTATGAAACTAGTCTGTACTTACAATGCATTGATTTGTAAACGAAATACAGGTAAAGAAAATTTAGAATCAGCAGAAAAAGAAATAGATTTGAATGGGTTAACAGAAGACAAATCAGATTTAAATGAACAGTGTAACAATGTAACAGAGAGAACATTGTCAGAAACAGTCTGTGAATTAGAGGATAGAGTTGAACTAAGAAATGATCTTATTTGCCAGCTTAGAAATGAAGTTAAGCACGAGTGTGTGTTAATACAAGAAAAATAAAGGCACAGAATCTAATCCCAGAACCAATAGATACTGAAAATGTATCCTCACAGAGTGATTTGCAGAAATATAAATTTCAAGACAGAGCTGCAAAACTTAATTTGAAGATCCATGAACAATTAATGAAAATTGTGAAATGTATTCCAGTTTATGACACGTCAGTGGATACATTTACTAATGCTGAAATGTTTGAGTCTAATTTAGACAAATACAGCCTAAATGACGAACAAAGGAATAGACTATTTCAAATATGGCTGCCGACTCAAATGGCATGTAGGCTGACCGCGATTGTAAAATTTGAGGACAATGGTGAAATAATATATGGAAATAAGCGAGACAGATTAACACAATTAATAAAATTAACAACAGGGAATGATTTTGCAGACACTGAAATGTTGGAAAAACTAAAACCACACAAGGGGGAGGATATATTTAGTTTTCTTGTAAAATTTGAAAATGCACATAGACTTGTTGCTGATTTTTCTGAAGATCAGTTAATTAATGAATTTGTGAAAAAATTTCAAGATCTAGATCCAACTGCAATTGTGGTAGCTAGAGAAAAAATAACTTTGACAGAAGTAGCTTTGTTCTTGGATAACTTAAGGAGGGAAACCAAGAATGAAGGGGTTAAAACGACTTGTGGCTTTAGGCAGAGAAAGAAGTGCAGATGTTACAGCCCCCGTCCTCCTCCTTCTTCTTCTTCTTCTTCTAGGACAGAGTGTAGAGTGATACAGACAGCTGAGCCCCTCCCAATTTATTCAACTAAATATAGGGCAGTTGATAATATAGGGCAGAATATAACTCCTAAAGTTATTTGTTTTTGGTGCAATAAACAACATTATTTAAGATCTTGCAGATATTTTATCCGAGATATCAAATCAAAAGCAAATGAGAAATTAAATTTGTTGATTGAAAATTTTGACAGAGAAAATACATGTGGAGATAAATCAATAAAGGCCTTTCCTTGTAAACTTATAATCAGACAAATAAAAGCAATTTTAGCTAAATCGAAATTAGGAGACAGACAAGCAATGCAGCATAACACAGAAAGTTATAAGAATCAGATAACTTAAAGAGATATGATCAGTTTAGGGAATGAGCATGGATATGTGTGCCAACAGAGGTACACAGGCTGATTCCAGAATTAAGAACAGCCAAGAATAGAGTTCTATGTTAGTTTGTTTTAATGAAATGTTAGTCTGAACTGTTTTTTCATTGTTTTATATGTATTTTAAGAAAGTATTAGGTTAATTAATTAAAATAAAAATGTACATCAAGTTTGCAAATATGGCAGAATGAAATACACTAATGTAGCAGTGAGGAACATGCAATGTATGTTATATTGGGTGTATGCAATTATACAGTAACTCCAATCATTTTACAGAAGGTAAAAACAATGTTGTTACTTCTGAGGTTGATTTAAAATCTTTGATTTAATTAATGAGAATGAGATTTTACTATCATGACTGATAATGGATTACTGTATATTGCAACGCCTGGACATACACATGGTTTGGATATACTGAAGACAAAAGGAATAATATATGGGAATGGATAAGGCTGATTTCCCCCTATCAACAGCCACGCCTACTCCTAAAGTAACATCGCGTACATCCTTACTATGCCCTTTTACTGTAGAATTTCCCGAATCCTAATGACCCATTCCACTACATGGTGTGACTTGTTTAAGCCTAAGATAAATTGGCTGATCAGGCTACCTGTATTAACAATGTCATCAACGATGAGTTAGCATCTGTGGAGAAGCATCACTTCAGGTTGTCCCAAATTTTCTTTTAACTTAAGTTTTAGTACATAGTAAGGCCCATGCCCAATAACTATATGCAGCCTTGTATAGCAGGCCACATGACATGTATTTGTACCAAGCAAGGCCTGCCTGACTCCTCATTCCTGTCTAACATTGTTGTCTCCTGCATAAGTGTAGATGGCTCTCCTTGGAGTAGCCTGTTAACTAAGCCTTGCTTTGTGGTTACCTTCACCTGTCCAATTAATCTGCTAGGTGCAGATGTCCTTCCCCCACTTGCAGGCCCCTATCACCTTATTATTCATTTTGTTCCACACAGTGAAACCTGACCAAGAGGCAAGGGTCCTAGCTAGTTCCCCCAATACCTTTACCTGAATTATACAGGCCCCAAAGCCTGTCCAAGCTCTTACTATTCCCTAACAGGGTAAGGCTCTGGTGTCGAATGGTGCCCTGGTTACCTGAGACTTTCCATGCAATATCCCACCTCTCCTTGTGATGGATGAATTCTGTGCAGGATAATGTCACCCTGCAGGGATGATACTCTATTTACCTGGCCACTCTTCTGCCACTTCCCAGGGGGGGAAATGATAAGACACTGACTATTATTTTTTTAGCCTTTTCCTCATGATCTGTTCCGGATTTGCTGTCACTACAGTGGACCAAGTATCTCACCTCAACAATGTCTGCACAAGAAGCTGAGCTATAGACTCCCATCACACCATGCAAGATCTCTGAAGGAAGACTGAACTCAGAGGAAGCATGTGGCAGCTCTCTGGCTGACTAAGTTGTTCAAAAAGTTGTAAGTGCACTAAGGGAAGTGGACAGAAAAGTGTCTGCTGAAGAAACTCCCATATTCACCATGTAAGATCCTACCCACAGACATCAAGCTCCCGAAGGAATAACAAGCAAGCTACTGACCCTGGAAAGAAAGAAAAAACAAACAAACCACAAGCTGGAAACAGAAAGGGGCAACTCTTAAAGACAGGCTGTACTTCAACAATCTCAAGTTATACTTGCCCAAGAACATATACTCAGCAGTGGTCAAG